TGGATATTGTGAAGGGTGATGTTTCTCTGATTTCTTTCTCATTGCATTTATCATCTGTATATAGTAGGGCTACTGATTTTTTTTAGTTAATTTTGGATCCTGCTACTTTGCTGAAGGTGTTTATCAACTGTAGGAATTCCCTGGCAGAGTTTTTCGGGTTACTTATGTAGACTATCATGTCATCGGCAAATAGTGAAAGTTTGACTTCTTCCTTTCCTATTTGTATCCCTTTGATCTTCTTTTCTTGTCTTATTGCTCTAGCTAGAACTTCAAGTACAATATTGAAGAGATATGGAGAGTGGACATCCTTGTCTTGTTCCTGATTTTAGAGGAAATGCTTTGAGATTCTTTCCATTTAGTTTGATGTTGGCTATTGGTTTGGTGTATATTGTGTTTATCATGTTTAGATATGTTCCTGTTATTCCTGTTCTCTCCAAGATCTCTGTCATGAAAGGATGTTGCATTTTGTCGAAGGCTTTTTTCAGCATCTAGTGAGATTATCATGTGGTTTTTCTTTTTCAGTTTGTTTATATGGTGGATTACATTGATGGATTTTCATATGTTGAACCATCCATACATCCCTGAGATGAAGCCTACTTGATCATCTGATATGTTCTTGGATTCAATTTGCCAGTATTTTATTTAGTATTTTTGCATTGATGTTCATGAGGGATATTGGTCTGTAGCTCTCTTTTTTAGTTGTGTCTTTGTGTACCTTGGGTATCAAAGTGATTGTAGCCTCATAAAAAGAGTTTGGCAATGTCCCTTCTGCTTCTATTGTATGGAAAAATTTGAGGAGTGCTAGTATTAGCTCTTGTTTGAATTTCTGGTAGAATTCTGCAGTGAAGCCATCTGGCCCTGGGCTTCTTTTGGTTGGGAGGTTTTTGATGACTGCTTCTATTTCATTAGGGATAATAGGTTGATTTAAACTGCTTATCTGTTCTTGGTTTAATTTTGGTAAGTGGTATCTATCCAGAAAATTGTCCATTTCCTTTAGATTTTCGAATTTTGTGGAGTACAGGTTTTCAAAGTATGAACTGATGATTCTCTGGATTTCATTGGTGTCTGCTGGTATATCCCCCTTTTCATTTCTGATTTTGTTAATTAGCATGCTCTCTCTCTGCCTTT